CACCGGCTGTAAACAGCAAAATGTGGACATTTTGCTTTTAATGAGACACGATTTACTGGAATTTAAATCGCAAACTTTTGTAAACGCTGAAACTTTGTCGCCGAACTATGTCGAGCCATAATTAAAACTTTGTTTTTGTAGGTCAGCCATTTGCGGCGGCAACCTGTTTGCTACAAACAACATTCACTGCCAGAACCCACTTGCCGCCACGCGCACTTACCATTGTTATAAAAATGCCAAATTCAGGATTCATCTCAATCGTATCGCCATCGGTGAAGATAAATGTTTTCTTTTTCTCCTTCTTGGCTGTCAGTACAACGGCAACTTGTTGCGCCGCCACCGACAACACCGGAAGTTCGATGCGGTTGAATTCGTCGAAACAGCCCCAGGTGCCGGACTGTGATAAACCCTTGTAAATACGGCCCAAGCCTCTAAAAAATGCAAAGATAAATAAATTAAGCAACGAAAATGGTTAAATAAATAAGAAAAGTGGTTAAAAAATTATTTTTTTGTTTATTTGTGCAAGAGATCGACAACTGCAATACTAATAACTAAATACATACACAACTTTAAACATACAAACATGGATATTAATATATCTGTGGTTAAAAGCAATAACCGCCTAAGTCAAAAGTGTTTTTTTTTTACTGTGAACCACCATTTGATTATTTTAAATGAACTCCACAGATTTTTCAATGAGGTTCCATCCGAATACTGGAGGAGATCTTCTAGTATAAATACTACCAATTACACATTCATTTGATAATTTTGTTCAAAAAGTGTTGCGTGAATGGGGCATTATATACCAAAGCTTGATTGTTTGTTGACTTAATCGATTAAAGCTTTAAAACACAGATATACACGCATCCGGGAGCGGCACTTTAATTGATGACGCATAACTCGTAGGCCGCCATGCCCATATTTACCTGGCATTTATTTATCTGTAGATATATCTATTGTATTAGCTTACGGATTATGCGAAATTAATTGCGCTACTACATTTTAATACCTGTAATCCATTTGGTCGGAGCAATTAAATACAACCACGTATTTAGCCAGCGTCTTGCCCATGTCCTTAACAGTCTCCGTTTTGCCCGTACCCGCCGGTCCACATGGCGCCCCGCCCATGCTCAGGGTAAGCGCCTGGGCAAGCGTGATGTAGCATCTTTATACAACATTCCGCAGCATCCAATTAAGCGAAGCAAACAGTGTCGGGGACGAAAATTGAAAAGAAAATTAAAGTCATTTTCGGCGGAATGTTTCGTAAATTCGAATGCAGTACCAAAGGCAAATGAATGTGCTACTGTGCATATGTACATATGTATGTATGTATGTATATACCCAGCAGGGAGGAGCTACTAATTTAGAACAGTTTGCTTTGCGGCTCAAATAGTTCGTCTTCTATCCATTGTCTACTTATGAAATAGTTTTTAGAAGTTGGCCTACTGGTATTGTGTGTGTATTGACTGGCTTCCCTGCAGGGTATGTAAAAAGACTCAGGGCTGCTTTGATGATTTTAAAATCAATTGTGTATGGAAATGTATTACTTATGGCGTTTTCGTTTCTACCAAACAAAAGGTTGCCATCTCTTTGCCCTCTACGCACAAATACTAAGAAGAGGGCAATGAGAAGCCAACATTTTTTGTAGAAACGAAAATGCCATTAAGTAACGTAATCTTGAACGGCGAGCTACTAAAAATATCGCGTTTTTTTCACATTTATTTGGTGTGTCCTTTTAACCTATTTTTCCCATTTAGAAGCTACATTCCTTGTCATAAAATACATGTCTAATAACCCTTTTCCAACAAGAGATTGACTACAGTTAAGAGCTCAGGTAAGTGCAAATAACGTTAACATGGGGTAAACAATTACCCGCTTCGAGTTGTAGTCTCCTTTTCCAATAGACATAAACTGCAGTTAAGGCTTGGTGGAAATGAACTGCGTTACAATAATAATAAAATTCTTGACATAGTTAATTATAAAGTTTGACTAAATGCGCCGCCGGCAGGTGCTTGTAAGCTTAAAGCTCAAATATCTATATTTACGACAATAAAATGCACACGGTTGCCATGGCAGCAAGCATAAAATTTGCAAATGCAATTCCAACTGCAAATCCAAGACAATTTACACAACATCCTGAACAGCCCTAGTATCTTTGTAAAACTAAGAATACATACATATCCCATGAGGCATAAAATACGTTTGTAGGTTTTATACTTGATTCCAAGCGTAGCTTCGAACAGAAAGCAAAGATAGAACTAGTAGCATATTACATACATAGAAGGAAACTGGGAAAAGCCTTGCTCTTTGCGGAAAGCACTGGGAAAAAATAACTACATATCCGAAAGTAATCGAATGAGTGCAGAGACTTGCCTGCTAACGGCTGTGAGCAGTTCACCCCAAAAAGCGTTGGAATATATTTCATTTAAATCCGACATAAGTATCCGTAACTGTTGCAGACGCAATTAAGGATCTTAGATTAAGGAAGATTAAATTGTGGTACATACTTTAGTACGAAGATGTGCTGCTGGGGCTTCCGCATAAGGAGAAGTTGGCGCCCCTCTCCATTCGGAGGGTCTGCAGATCAGACAATCAAATCACCTGCCAAAGAGAAGATTGCTTGCCTTATACGGAATAATAAGTCTCTGCAGGGAAAAACACTGTACTCGTTGACAGTCAAACGGTATTGAAAGCATTAGGATTCAAAGTAGTAAAGTCAAGAATTGTTTGGAAATGTCGGGCGTCGCCAACGTCTATCTACTGTGCTCGTAAATATGGCAATATTGAAGGGAACGAAATAGCCAGTGAAAAATACGTCTAGGCAGGACTCGGAAATGCACATCAGCCGTATCAAATGTGTTTAGGGTTTTTTAGTGAAAAAGTTCAAAAGCTTCTAATGATGTTTTCGGAGATGTTTTAAGAAATAAAGTTTTAAGCTAAAATCAAAATATAAATAGCCAGATATATTTCATCGGACTCACCGATCTGTTAACGGCGTGATCACCAAACGATCTGTACAGCCCAGGTACTCATTTTGATAAGTAAAAGTAACGTCCGTCACGG